GAGGAGGTACGTGGTCCAGCTTTGAATTTTCGCGGCTTATTGATGACATATAAATCTTTAACGTATTAATGAAAAACCAGCACGATTTGTTAGCCGACAATGTTAAATGGAATTAATCTAACTCGTACTACTTAATGCAAGGATTAGATTTTAACAACAATGTAATCTGAATTCTGTTATTTACAAATCCTTTCATTTGGTGTGAAACCTTCGAGCCGCATTTAATACGACAACGTGGGTATCTTACATTATACATTATAATTTACATATATTTAGTACTCAGTTTGAACGATATTGTTAGAATATTCCAATAACAACAATGTATTATGCTAATGGTTAGGTATGTTCCATTTTCGAATAATCTGGATTAAAATTATAGGTTATCAGAAATGTAGATTATTAATTTGGGGATTAAAATTTGGTAGGTTTTAATTATCAAGTAATTTTTTTAATGTAAGAGCTTTTATATAAATAAATATTAATACAGGTGTTTTAAAATAATTATCATTATTATTAATTAGCAGAGCTCTTTTTTATTTCGTAATGGGCAGGCATTTGGCCGCTACATAACATAATGTAATATATAACATAATGTAGTTCAGTTTCAGTGAAGCACATACGTAGAAAGTCCGAAACAATTTTTGATCATTTGTAATGTTTTTGTTGACTACACCCCTTTAGGGTAGCGATAGGTCAACTTGATTGATTGATTGATTGATACGCCTTCAATTCGGGTTGATGGTAAAACTTTAGTTCACAGAACTGGTGAGGCCGTCTGAGTGACCTTTAAATGAAACTTTTTCTTGGAATTTTTAGTTATTAGTAATGTGATTACACGATGGATCAGTTTGAAACAGCATCGATGTTGCGGATTGCGTGACTTGGTTTCGCCTATCACATAGATTTTTCTAAAATTGGATTGAGCTGTCTCAAAGTCTCTGTCCTCAAATTGACACAGTAGCCATTATATAATTTATATTAATCGGTCAAGGTTTTTTTGTGAGGGGAAAATAATGAAACGACTTCTCCTGTCCGGGGTAGGGCAGGAGGGAGGCGTCAGACTTTTACTCGCTAAAAACCCGTTCCTTCTCCTGCTCTGGGTCGAGGCCGCGATACCTAATTGCACTTGCCTCGCAACCCCGGCTTATTAGCGATTAAGGTTATGTCCTTTGTCATGAGTGGCTTTACAAATAATTCTGCGATCTCATCTTGTCAAACTTTGAATGAAAGAGGAATTGTCAGTGCCGCTGGTGCAGTCCTAGGTAAAATTTATTCATTCGTATTTCTTTGATTTTTTTTATATTGTCATATTATTTATCTCTAACTGTCTACAAAAATTAGCTTAGATATTGATGTTGCAGTTCTAAACATAAATGTTGTTCGAAGTATTTATTTTCACTTAAAAAAAGTTTTGAATCACGTTACGTCTATGATTTAATTAAAACAACCATTAGAAATTATTGTAATAATATTGAATCCTGTATCTCATTTAACCTTTACGGCAAAGGAGATAAATATGGATTAGCGTATAATCTAAGCAAGCAAGTCCGCTATAATTGTAAAAGAAAAAAAATGCTCTAAACGATGAAGGTTTTATTAAAAATACATTAACAGGATACGGCCCAGACTCAGTAAATAAAATGCTTGATGTTATTTCGTCCGCATATCATAATTACGTTTGTGGTTTCTTTATGTTAATATTAGATTACATGGTTTTTCCTCACAATTACGTTTACGAAACGAATTTTACTGGTGCCTTTTTCCGAGTGTTTTTGAATTTTTTTGTTTAGATAATTTCGGTTACATATTTGAAACGAATATGGGTTTTTGAGGTCAGGTCCATATAACTATTTACTCTTATTGAAAACTTTGACCCACACTAGGATACCTTGAATCGTGGCATGGGTGCCTTTGCGGGAGGGACTATGTCTCGCGGAATCTCTCTAAAAAACGGAATTTTGAATATGATATTTTTCCTTAAGTATTTTTGTTTCTTAAAAAGACGTGTATAAAAGATACGCTTGGATATGTTATCTTATCATATCTGTAATCTTCCATATTTTATATTTTTAAAAAGAAAATCTAAACAGTACACAAATTTTTCTTTGAATTTTCTGTTTTGATCATTTGTATATTTCTAGATGCTAAGAAAAGAATATATAGTAGAAAATAATAAGTAAGGAAGTCAACTAAACATAATACCGTCCAAGCTATCATTGGAATTCGAGATTTCTCAAAAGAATCGTTTCAATGCAGATGGAACAGATCAAGGCGATAAGCTGCGAATTTAAAATGAAGACGTTCGTACACTCTCGGATGTGTTCGGCTATTTTCGGTTCCTTGTTGCCAACCTACGCAGAAATGTTGACCAGAAGAAAATAATACTTTTTGCAATCTAAAGGGCCCTTTTGTTTTGTAAAACCTTTTGTATGTTTGGCTATGTGGTAATTTGTTTTAACAAGGAAATTTTTGCGCTTTCGTGTTTAGGTGTTAAGGAAAAATTTGCATACACAGAAGTTTCTTACTCTTTGCCGTGATGTATACTGTTCTACTGAGATTATATTATGTTTCGGGGTGGTTTCATAAAAAGTTTTTTTTTCTAATAAGTAGGAATAGCCTTTTCTCGTACTAAACATAAAACAAAAGAAGGTGTAAAACTTTTTTAAACAGTGAACATCATTATCGGTTAGTCACTGCTGATTATGATAAAGATAATGCTGACACTAAATACAAATAATAAGAAAACTCAAGTTGTTTTTGTAGACAGACTCAAGTTCTCCTGTGATACACGTCTAAAATTAAATTCTAATTAGAATACTCCATTTGAGAGGGGTATCTTAAAAAGTGTTCAATCTATTGAATACTAGCTATCCTCGCGCAGTTTCCCCCGCTGCTCAGCTCCATTTGATCGTAGCGTGATGTTTAATTGTATCATTGAAAGAATTTTGGCAACTCGACCAGCGGTTCCAAAGATTACCCCCTACATACAAACTTACAAATTTTTCCTCTTTGTAATATTAGTATAGAAATGTCAACCCATTTTTTCTCCCGCTCCAAGCCATAATTATGCTACGTTACTTTATTATATACGCACCCTAAATGGACATTATCTGTAGTGGTCTAAAAGCTCTGAAAAACGCGCCGTACTGTTAATGTTACCGTAGTTCTGTTTCTGGTCTGATTGTGAGCTACCAATGCTTGCCATCTGTAAACCCGTGCTAACTGTAGCTGGAACTCATGGCGCAATCCTCGATCGCTAAAGCGTCCTCTGTGGCTGTTGGGCGCGTGTTAACTAAATATATCACAGTGTTTACAAAAAGACCGACTAGTTCAATTTCAGTAATAACAGAAGACCAGTAACCTAATCATAAGCCCTAAAATATTTCGGTTCAAAATGTAAATCAGAACTCTGTAAGTTTGTTGCGGTAGAAGCACCTAGCTAGGTCTTAAATAATAAATGATAATTTGAAATTCCATCTCTCTGAAAGGATCAAATTGTGGTTAGAGTTTGAAATTTGTTAGGCTTTACACTTAAATTAATTTACCGTAATGAAATACCTTAGCTGTTACGTTATGTTATGGTGTAAGTGAAGTTCTCAATGGCGAAATCTTAATACCCAAATCTCCTACCCCAAAAGGGCGGTAACGTAGGTACTTGTAACTCCTCCAGTGGTGCGGATGTATCGGTTATCCTAAGAATACCTCTTATTAGATTTTTAAACACATTTAACCAACTGTTTTAGTAAAAAGATGAATTGGTTGCTTATAAATATAAGATAGAAGTTGACAATTTCAAACTGATTGACATCACAGAATATTTAAATATTGATTTAACAAATTTTGGATTTTGGATTAATAAACAAAATTAATCCAAAATCTCTATAGATCTTGATTTTTGACAGAAACTATAAAGAAAATTTAAATGTCCAAATTAAATTTGCAAGTAAGTCAGCATACCTAAAAATAATTAAAATATTAAAAAATAATAAAAAAAAAAACACCTAAAAATAATTATCAGAAGTTACTAACAAGTATAAGGAAAAGTAGCTTCGTGAGGCGTGGAAAAAATAAATTGATCTTTCTTATAGTAAATCAATTAATCCGCTATAGACATTTGTTAATTGCCTTTTATAAGGAAAACTGAGACTTGATTACTGATGGGATTCATGGGATATCATGACAATATTAGTATAAATAGGAATATATAGACGGACTATTTTCTCTTTGCTGCCAATTTTTTTCATCTGATTTTCAACTTTTTTGTGTTGAATACAAAATCGAAATTCTGAATTAATGAAAAACGACAAAAAAGAACAGATTGAAGTTGGTCGATTTGCTGGCATCTATACTCTATACATTGTATGTAAATATCATTAGCCATAGCTTCATATTTAAGTTACCATTGTTTTATTCATCTTTAACTGATGTACTCAGATACTTTAAGTAATCTATTCCTTAACAGTGGTTTTTGTTCTGAAGATATTTGTTAGGATTTGCGTTAAGTAACCAATAAATAATTCTATTTCTTTGTCAATGTCGTGGTGGAGGTTAAGTGGTGAAGGTGAGATGAACTTATAACTTATAATTATAAGTCTGAAATTGACAACGCATCTTGAAAAAAACATGGTGTTTAATACTCAAACCTGCTCCGTGTGAAAAGAGGCCTTTGCTCAGCAATGGGCACTTATAGGCTGATCCTGATAATGATGAAATAACTTTGCCAGCTTGATCTTCTGCCTGCGGCTTTGCCTGTGAAACTGAGAAAATGGTCGCGTTTATAATAATGGTTAAAATGGGTACACTTAATTTTAAAATACACAGTGATAATTCAGCCAGCGTAGCGTCCACAAAAAGATGTTAAAATTATCTCTAGCGGCACTAAAAATCAAATCTTCATTTTACTCACCGACCGACAGTCAACAGTTCCCTAATAACTTCTATCTCCAATTAAAACGCATAAACGTTGATCCTTTTTATTATCATTCTATTTTTTATTTCAGACATCAACGACGCTCATCCTGCTGCTTCACTTATCACTTCACACAGTCGACGAAGGGCATGCCATAAATCCAAGTAAGTATAAAAGTACTCCTACTTTGTTAGCTTATTATCATTTTGTTTACTGCGACCGTAATTTGTAACTTTTGTGGCATAATAAACGGGATTTTCGCTTCTTTTGAATGTCATAAACCGTTATCTGAGGGTTTTCGAATTGTCATTGTTGCATTTCAGTTTTTATTTTGGTAAAAGTATTTTTTTTTGTTATTTGTAGTTTTAATGGGTATTTGACCTTGAATTTGAGATAAAATATTGACAGTTTTACATTAACATAGTGAACGCCATGGGGGACAACATGTGGGCCAATCTAGCGGAGGGTTTACCTTCAACATTCAATCAGTCGGCAGTCAAAAACTTAATAATTATTTTCTGTGCTTTTAAGGCCTAAGTCATTCTGTCACCTGCATTAAATTTATCTAGGGAAGTAGAAACTATTGCGTCTTTTTTTTCCTCAAACAATATCTTCTCTATAATTCATGACATCTTTTTTTTAAATAAATCCTTTATTAATGTTAACAAAAAGTTTACCATATATAAACCCACCAAACTGTTAAGACAGTTTGACAGGTTGTATCTACACTGTAGAGCCTGGTTTACAGGAGTTGCAGCGGTTTAGGAAGGTCGCGGTGGGCTTGTTCCATAAGAAAATATATTATTATTAAAGAAATAATTATTTTGTCATTACTATACCAATATCTTTGACAAATATGGTAAGGTATGTATTAAAAAAGAAACAGATGTTTTGCTTGTTACCTATCAAAAATCTTTATAAAATCATTACGTAATCAATATCTTCAGATAAAAAAAAAATATTGTATTTGCATATAAATTGCTACGTTTTCATTATTTTTAGATTTTGTATTTATTATACTAAAATAATCTATTCAACGTATGAAACATCGCTTTAAAAGATAGCAAACACAAATTTCATTAAACATCCATTTCGCTACAACTTGCTGAGCTATATTAGCTTTTCAAATTAGTACTCTATTGGCAATATTTAAAGTTTATTTTCTCTTTTATCAGCATTGAATAGCACTTAATTGCTCGAACTTATTTGGTGCTATTCAGCAAAAAAGGTTAATAGATAGGTACAGTTTAGACTAGCTTTAATTAAAAAAGGTTGGAGTGTTTTTAAAACTCTTTTCTGTAGACATAATTAAAACAATTATATTTTTATATTATACTTTTAACTTTCGCCATCTGCCATGGTCACAAGCAGACTGACAGTCTGACAGCCTGCTCGTGACTATGACATGGTTCTACCCCTGCCGAAACGGCAAGCAATAAACAAATTAAAGTTACGTGCGCGTTAAATCCCGTAAAACAGGAAAGTATTAATATTTTGTTTATGTGATAGATCGGCTAACGAGCTGACGGATTACCTGATGGCAAGCAATCAGCGCCGCCCATGGATACTCGTAGTACCAAACGAGTTACATGTGTTTACAAGGTACTCTCTAATAATGTTAGTTTACGAAGTTGCACAAAATATGATATCATTATGATTACTGATAAGATACCTAAGAATCAAATGGTAATTGTAACGAAATGACAACGATTGATCAAATTAAAAAACAAAAGAAGTATTGCTTTCCATATAGGTACCTATATTATACGTTTTCATTAACATAAAGTAAATTATGATCACTGAAATACATGTTACGACTGTTCAAATAATCAGAAGCAAGCATAACTGTGTACGGGGGCAAATGACGAATCTACCACAAGGTACCAATCACAGTTACTCTTGTGAGCTAGAATTTGCATAAACAAGAGTCTAATCCGAGTAACGTCAATGCAATGCAGTTAGATAATTCATTGATATTATTAAAACTCAGTATTGACTATGCTAACGAGTTTAACAGATTTGAGTAAGTCTAGGTAGAGTAGTACATACATCATCAGCTTATAAGTGCCTACTGCTGAGCAAAAGGCTCTTCTTGCACAGTAATATTTGAGCATTAAGGTCAAGGTGGATTGGCTATTTCACTTTTAATTAGAAATTATAAGTCCGGGTTACTTCATGATGTTTTCCTTCACCGTATGTCAGTGGTCCAAATAATCATAGGAAGCACATATAACTCGAAAAAAGTCACATTGCTCCTTGCTAGGTTTCGAAATCGCGCTCTCTAGCTTGAGAAGTGGGCGCCATAATCTCCGGGTAACCACGACATTGAATAGTATTGTACGACATTGTAGTGTGTCACTAGACAATAACAACAAAAAAGGCATTGCAGAACTTCTGTTATGTCTGCATAAGACTCGGGTTTTACAAGGTGTAGAGATGTGTAATATATGTATATGTAACCTCAATGATGATAATTATATTAGAGTGAGACAGACAGAGGACGAGAGAGAGAGAGAATCCTATATATTTATGGATGTATATGGTTGTATAGTATCGATAGATATTCTTTGTTGAAACAAAGAAATCGATACCAAAACTTGATCTTACATAAATCTCGATATTTAAGACAGCATTACATATATCCAGAAGTTTGTAAGCAATATTCTGGTCGACCTAGAGCGGTAACGAACCGGATTTACGTTTATCGATTTTCTATTGAACAGCTCCCGACTTCAGAGTTTTCCCTTGGCGAAATCAATGTCATAGAAAATCGAGTTATAAGAATCGATGAAGTAGGGAAACAGCCTGAGGATTTTGTGGAAATACAAAACATCATAAACGAAATTTGTTGTTAATCTAATGTAAGAAAAACAAAAATGTAGAAAAAGAGGAATGATATCTTGACAATCTATTGATGTGTGTAAGAGGCAGCTGAGGTTGCAGATAAAGTGCAACGTTGTACTCTGTTTCGAGCAGGAAAAGAAGAACAGGGCGGTTATTTTCAAATGGTTCGGTCAGACTTTTAGTTGAATAGCCTTTAATTCTTTGTTATCGTCCAACCCAGTGCGACTAGTCATTGGATGTTTTTTCCTTGGAGAACAAAATGGATTGCCAACTTCGATTATAAGAAACTCTTTAATGTTCATCTAAACAAAAAGAAAACTATTTCAAAACTACACACTTCAAGAATAATCTGTAGAAAAGTTTTATATTTTCCGACAACATCTTTATTATTGCAAAACAAATTCAAATGAGGTTTGAAGTAATAACAATGATCTAAGTTGGCATCAAAGAATATCATAATCTAAACAAAAAATCAAACATTCATTTCAAACAAGATTTTACGATCCAATTTTGTCTGGATTATACTCTCGTCATTGTGAACTCTTTTATTGCTGACATAAAAGTATCGTAAGAATCTTTTCAATATGATGTATCAGAAAATAATATCATATGCATTAGAAAGTTCGGTAACGTTCTTGAATTTGAAATGCTTTGTTTGTTTTACTTTAGTCTTGATAAAATATTTTCTGTATTTTCTACGTGTATTCATTTTGGTTTGAATTTAAAGGAAATAAAAACGAAATAGTATTAAACGTGATAAAACTGACAATCCTTATTGTGGGTATAGTATCAGCCTTAGGCGCACATTTTGATACCTGTGCGCTTAAGGCTGCAAGTATAGCATGTGTTTGATTGATTTTGAAATGATTTTATTCCAGTTTCTACCACCGGGTTAACTGCGTTTTTGAGATAATTATCAATCTGTATACTAAAATTAATTCAAATCTTTTTAGTAGTTTTGCGCGAAACAGTTTTAATTATACTCACATTATTACCACAAAAATTACGTATATTAAAATCTCTTCTTATTTTAATGCGTGATATCATGATTCAGAAGTCCCTGTTTTTCTTCTATAACATTAATTATCCCATTAATAATGAAAACTCTCATACCTAAATATACTAGGTTTTTGAATCATTAAACATAGAGCAGTTAGAATGCAAATCAAATAAACACACCACCAGCGTTCAGCTATATAATCAAACGAAATAGCATTCTACAAATATTTCAGCAGTAATCAACAACATTTTCATATGTTGATACTAACTTCGGCTGGTGGCTTTGCTCGCAGTGCCTGCATTAAAAGTATCCTGGCTATTAGATATTCCAGAATATTATTTATTTCTACGACAAATTTTATTCAACATCATCATCATCATCATCATCAGCCTATAAGTGTCCACTGCTGAGCAAAGGCCTCTTCTCAAACGGAGAAGGCTTGAGCATTAATCGCCACGCTTGCTCAATGCGGGTTGGCGATTTCAAACTTATAATCAGAAATTATAAGTCCAGGTTTCCTCACGATGTTTACCTTCACCGTATGTCAGTTTTAGAATTTTATTCAGATCCGTTCAAAAGTTTCACGTGAGAGCGTAACAAAATTAATCCATCCATACTTACTTATAAACTTTCGCAATTGCAATATTAGCAGGATGTGGTTCTACATAATAAACTTATACCATAATATGTATTTTACCCTGAAAGTATGAGTATTAGCTGTATAGTGATGGAAGACGGTAATGTAATTGACCCCAGACCTACATTTTGCACAGGTCCTAAGAGTCGACTAAGCCACATTTTCATTAACGTTGACGCTCGACAAGAATTTCACGTGTTCTGTGCGTCTTCGCCCGACGCCGTGCCGTGCGTGTTACTTACTCTGTGCAATCGTCACACGTCGCCAATATGAACAAAAGAAATGTTGAGACAGTATCGACATTGTTCCACTAAGTTGCAGAGACATACCAAATGAATGTTAAGAGTCTTCTAGTAAAAACGCGATTTAAGACTTAATTGTAATGTAAACATCGATATAACCGGGAAAATATTCAACCAGGGTTTCGAATCAAGTGCAGTAATGTATGGTCTCCGTACGGAGCAGAGAGAAAAAACTTGGAGTTTTTTTTTCTTATTGTGTGGGGAAAATCATCAAATGACTTCTCCCTCTCAGGGCCGGGCGGGAGAAGACTGTCAGGCTTTTGCTGACTAAAAACCCCCCCGTTCCTTCTTTTGCTATGGGCCGAGGTCGCGGTGCCTCATTGCACTTATCCCGCAACCCCGGCTTTGTTTTTTAGTCCCTCTCGACATGCCTTGGACGAGGAAATCAATTATATGATATTAAATTTCTTCTTCAAAAAAAAAAGAAGACTAAATTGTCATAGGGACCTAGAAAAAACAAACATAACGAAAGTATTGTTTCACGCCTGTTTTTATGACATCGTGGCACAATATAGTAAACAAACAAATATAAAATGATCGTAAAAATATCGTAGGTTAACTATTGTTTGTTTGGTTAGATTACATGAATGATAACATACATATATTTATTAACGCGGAAAATTATTATCAGAATACCTTGGTTGGCTTGCCGCGGCCGTTTCGACCCAGTTGCATAGGTCATAGTCACAAGCAGACTGAAGATGCGATGTGTAGATGACCTAATATGGTAGTAAATGAAAATAAGGGGGTAGATGAAGATATATCGCCCGAATGTAGGGAGCTGTGACATCGCATCTTCAGTCTGTTTGTGACTACGACCTGTGCTACCGGGTCGAAACGTCAAGCCTAATAAGGTATTCAGGTAATAATTTTCCGCGTTAATACCCGCGTAAATAAATATATGTTGTTAATGTGAAAGTTTAAAAGTTAGTACATGAATGACCATGATATCTATGCTGTGTTGTCATTGCCTGCATATTTGCAAATATCTAGGTTTTTTCTTTGTCTCAGTAGAGAATGCGTTTCTTATTTTATTGTTTCTGGACACAAGACCTTTTCGGTGACTTGATTTCACTTAGTTATGAATTATTTGGTTATTTAGAATTGTTGATCAAGATACCGCTAATACAAAGTCTAAATTGATCTCTTTCTTGTTTCTTTGACCAGCGCTATTCAGTTTCGAAAATTCATCATTCCCAGAAATACCGTACAACCTAGAACTATTCATACACCATTTGTATATTATTAGCACGATTATATAATGTATACTAACACTGACTAAAAAAAAAAGAAAAAAGAAAACATTCAAATAAACTTATTTATTTTCATTTATTTTGATTGAATAGTAACGTGACACAGTTTCAACGTGTTTCACTAAAACAATTACATGCGCAAAGCTACATAGATATCGGTAGATTACTCCCATATTTGGCAACCGAATATGTAATTAAATTTCGTATTGTGAAATCGGTTTAATCGATGTTACGCAATGTTTGTTATAATGATTTGAATGTCTTTAATTAACGTTAGATATTTAGGCGCCTGTTTAACTAACTCCATTTTAGTTCCACATACATTTATGTGGTAAATAGTTTACATAATTGCGTTGTCTATGTAAGTTTGTCTGATACCTAGCAGCATATTTATATATTCAGGACCGGTTAGGCTTCAATTTATATTTAACAACATTGTTGATTTAAAATAGTTTCCTAATTCCAGCTATGATTATTCAAATTATCAAATATTTTTTTGAGCTTAAATTAACGTAACTATGCCGCAAGATATAAAGATATTTTGATATCCGAAACCAATGAGTTTATTACTTCTACTACAATTTGTAATTTTAAACATCTTCTTCTCTTTCCGTAAATGCCAAATAACCTTCCCGAACCACTGCTCACGAAAACATTGAATGAAAACCTCGAGCACCGGATCATCCTGATATAATATTCAGAATTATCATTTGCTCCGAGACTACAATGCTAGGCCAGGAGTCAGAACAGGGAAATGTTTTCCCAAAAAATTATACCGCAAATAAATTCGGTGTAACGCAAGTTTATCTTCAATTTTACTCAAAATAACGTCTTGAATATCTCATTTGACACCGTTGAAGATTACGGTAAAGTCGTAAGTCGGCGCCGGAGAATTTTTACATAAAATATTCATCATCGCTAAAGCTCCGAATCGCGTGCCACGTTCGTCACCTCTTTTTTAGACGCTATATTTGTTCCCTCTGTTTCATTAAGCATTGTCGTTATAGCTTTTATTATATTGTCGAAAGGCAATTATGCTGTAGGTACAGAGGCTTTTGTATTTTTTTGTTATTTTATTCCGAGGTGGCGAATGTCACATGTTTAGGACAATGGATTCATATTTTTGGGTTATGTGCTTTTTTTTTTCTTTTTCCAAATCACGTTTTTGTTAGACCTCATTGTGTGAGATTTTACCTCCTAAATTGGGTTAATGATTTTAATACTCGGCTCAGTGGAATTTAAATATTTAATGTTATCATTATTATTATTTAATTCTGCAATGGTTTCATAAAATTTAAGGTATTCTTTTTATAAAACTTTTAGGCTTGATTTCAATTAATGCATGAATTGAAAGTATTGTTATTTGGATAACTTCACAAAATTCTCGTAGCGTTAAAAAATTCTTTTTCTTGATCAAGCCTTGTTTAAATATGTAAGAAAAACATTTAGTTATGTATTTCAAGTCAAATTAATTCTGAGTATTATTAGTTTCTGGGTAACGTTCAGCTGGGTGATTCGACAACTATGTAAATGGCGTTGCAGCGTACACCAAGGATAAACCAGAAACATTAAATGTTGAACATGTTTTAAATTTATTTTAATACAAAATTAAAATTTAATATATTAATAGGATGGAAACTACAACACCATCAGTCATCGAGGAACGTTACCATAAGACTACCAACACGTTGTAAGGAAATACTAACTTTCTAGACGCCATCTTTCTGATTACGTGGAGAGTGGACCAGTCCACGGACGATTTGTTTGTTCAATAGTTCGTCCCCCAAAAAATGATGACTAGCCAGAGATTTTTATCTATACATTTTTAACAACCAATAGTTAAACCACTACGTATTTTCTTTATTAAAAATGTAAAATTCTGTATTTTATCATAGACTTCACTTACTGTATCCAAAATTAAATTTATGATCCACACAATTTCACAATCCATCTCTGTACATTTCTTGATTCCTTATTTCATTTACTAGGTTGTACGTGTATCCGCTACACGTCGACGTATGGTAAGGAGCGTGGCACGTTCAGCAGCCCCGACTACCCGCGCCCCTACCCGTCCCGGATCGACTGTCTCCTCTACACCTTCGTCGCGGCGCCCCACGAGATTGTCGAGCTCGTCTTCACAGACTTCGACATCTATAAAGGACATCTCGAGTGAGTTGAATTTGTCTTTATATTGAAAATCTTGTTCGGTCTTCCGATTTTATTATTTTCGTCTTAAATTTCTATAAAATGCTATGATAATTTTATTTTATATTTATTGTATATGTTGTAAATGCTTTTTTTCTTAAAAAATTATTACTTTCCATTGTTTATTCGGTTTTGCGAGATTTTTCATAAGTAATTTTCATAGTAAATGATTATTGTATCGAAATATACATAGTATTTCAATTTTCAATATTAAAATAATGATCATGAAACGAGAATCATATCAGTAATTATCATAATAAGTGGATTGGCCATTTTCTCTACAGCTAGCAAAAAATACATATTTAAAAATAAAACGTATTTTGTTAAACTTCATTTATTTGAGTGCCATGAAAATGTACTCTTTAACAGAACTGTGTTATTAAATTACGAAGTTACACCTTTCCGTCCAATAAAAAAGCAAATGCATTTCATTGAATCGACTGTGAAATGGCTCAAAAGACCATTTCATCAGTTACACGTTTTCATCGTCCAAAAGTTCCAACTTCAACAATGTTTTGAACACAACATTTCCCTTCAATTTGCGGATAAATGGGCGTTGAATTTTAAATTTTTCATTTCGTGGTAATCTAAAGCCTGTATTAGGGCTGGCTACTGAAACCAATTTGTGGGTAGACTTGTGAAAGTCCAGTATAAACTGACCTCTCGATCTTTGGTAGGTCAGTGATGTTTAAGTTTACTTAATCTGGTTTTTGTAATGTTACTTAATTGATTCTCTGGTAAAAGTACTACCGGGATACGGTTAAACTACAACAAGAAAAAAAGAATGTTCAAAAGTTTAGTGTAACTATGAAAGTAATTACTTAACTAATCCAACCCAAACTTATATAAATAAATCATTTGCTTAAAAATCAATGTTAACTTTTATAGAAATATTAAACCGTACCCAGACTAAAATTTGAATTGGAAAATTGAACAATAACAAATAATACTATACCCCATCTTAGAGTCAACTCAAGGCTTTATTTGGCTTGGCAGTTACCTACACTTACACCAATTCCCAATTTCAAATGTATTCTCCTCCTAGCCATGCTTCATACATTTAGCTTCTGACTTATCATTAAAATCGCCTAGCTCATTAAAGACATTAGAGCTCGCTAACTTAGGATATTGCCCTTTAAATTTAACTCGACAATAAGCAGCTCGCGACTTCTAAGAAATGAACATAAGGACGAATTTACATTTTCGTCACATTTGTAGCAATAAAGTTGCCGATGTAAACGTTTCGAGACAGCAGTTTCGGAGCGCAATAATGCTCATTTAAGTGTAAGGAATCCCTGAATACGCGACTTTCAAATTATACGACCGACTTTATTATTGTTCGTGTTTTTACGTCGCTCCCTGTTGGGGAATTAACATTTGAAAGAATTTGTACATTGGTTTATACTTTGTCTCAATATTTATGTTGAATGAAGTCAAAGTCAAAAGCAATGAACTGACTTTTGAATCGTCAAAATAGAATAATAGTCTGTCTGTTTGTCAGTGAAGTTAGGTGCTCGTTCCAAAGTGTCAATTCGAAATCCAAATGCAGAAAAACGAACAAAAAACTCCATCGTTACAATTCAATAACAAAAATAAGGATTTAAAAGCTCACAAATATATTGTTTAATACACTTGTACACAATGTAGAATGCAAGATGTTAAAACAAAAGAACAAACCATGAGATTAATTTCCTCATAATTAAATTTTATTAATTTTAAGGAATTCTAAATAAAATCTTTATATATAAAAATTTCGTGTCACGTGTTTGCCCGCAATAGACTCCTAAACTACTAAACCGATTTTAAATTTAATTTGAATTCGGTGTGCATTTTTATCCAACTTGAAAGTAGGATAGCTTACATCTCCATTTATAGTCACAATATTGTTTTGACAAGAACCTTAGCCAAAGCAACGCGTGGCTGGCCCTGCTAGTGTTATATATATATATATATATATATATAGATGTATCCATTCGGCAAATGTTGATCAGACGGGTTGTAGCATCAGTTAATTGTTGATCAGTTAGCAATTGTTGATCAAAACAGTTTTTGTTGATCTAATGTATGATTCGGCATACAAATGTGGCTCCACTATGATCAACAATTGCTAACTCTCTAGCGGCACAAATAAGAACTATTCATTGCATTTTTTATACAAATCCGCTCCATCAATTGTTGATCTGATTCAAATGGACCAATCAGAGGTCACCTTTGCCACGATTGGTTGGTTTTGTTATGAACTGTTGCCACTTCGCTTTGCAATCTATACGCGATGATGAAAACAAGAGAGTGCCCGTCCTATGTCCGGTCTGTCGAAAGTGAAAGTGGACCCTATGTCCGGTCGTTTCCAGAAATTTGATGTATTTTTAATGGCGTTTAGAAAATCGCTAAGAAACCTAACCTAACCATTAGTTTATGTTATAAATTATACATAACATAAAACCTCAAGTTGTTGATTGTAGTTTGTTTCTTGGAAAGAAGAAAGTGAAAAATGGAGCCAGAAACTGTAAGTAAATAGTATAATTATGATTTAATTTATCGAGTAGTAAACATTCACGTCCACAAATGTATTATTTTTGCTGTAAAAGATAAATGCGTGGGGACGCGGTATTTCGCGCCACTTTGTACAAAACTTACTAAGCTTTAATTTATTTGTTTGTAGAATAAAACCAAACCTCTTTCGAAGGAAGAGACGAAAGGACTGCTCTCCTTAATTGAGGGGAGCAAGATTATAAATAATAAAAAAACAAACGCCACAAGCAATAAAATAAAGGTCGAAGAATGGACACGGATTGCCGGTGTTTTCAACGCAAACATTGGTACCTGTCGCCGTACACCACAACAACTGCGTCTTAAATGGGAAAACTTAAAGAAGAACTCACGAAAACGCAGTACTTTAATACGAATGGAACGGATCAAGGTAAATAATTAAGTTTAAAATTGACATGATTGTATGTTTATGTTGTATTCATAATTAACGTGTTGAATTATGTCATATTATGTTCCAGACTGGAGGTGGGCCACCAGGGTACTTTCCTCCTGATGACGTACTGGATAGGGTGGCAGCATTACTGGGCAGCACTGGAGAGGGTCTCACAGAGAGGTTTGGTGGTGATGCTGAGCCCCAAATGATTGGTGATGGTGACGGTGACGGGAGTGTAGAGACCTTTATTGTGCCGGTTGATAATAGCATGTCTCCAATGCTATTGATTGATAGTCCATTGCCTATCAACAATTCTTATACAGCAGTGTCCATGGGCAGTGAAGTGCCAGTCAATAGCCTTGGAGATGAGTTGGTGACGGTGCAGAACAATATTAGTACTCCAGTGGTACCAAAGCAAAAAAGGAATTTTAGAGCTAGTGGTAATATCCTACTAATTTGTTAAAAAAAAAATTGTATGTGTGGATGTTTGTTATTCTTTCACGCTAAAACTACTGAATGGATTTTCATGCAACTTTATAGTAATATAGGCTTATATGTACATCAGAATAACACATATGCTACATAACATCACGCTATGTCCTACGGGAGCAGAGAAGTGGTGGAAACCGCAGGGGGCAGCTAGTACATAATATGTGAAACTTTATGTTTGTTACTCAATAAAACTTTAATAGCTTTTTTTTTTGTTTTACAGGTTGTATTAAACGGAAACTCCTGAAGCCAGATAATGGGTCTCAAGCTCGAAATATTGCATTAGCTGAATATTATAGTGTTAAGAAAAAATTGTTAGAGAGTAAGTTTGAAAATGTTAAGTTAGAAAATGAAAAATTAAGATTAGAGATAAGGAAGCTGAAGGGAGAGGATTTCTAGAGTAATATTTTTGTATGTAAAACTAGTATTAATTTGTCAATAAGTTTGTAATGTCCTATATTTTATAATAAATCACTAATTAAACAATTTTGAAATGTTAAATATGGAATATTTTATTTCCTGAAATTATCATTGTTTATTCATTTGAAACTAATAGTAAGTATACTTAAGAATAAAGATGGAGTGGTAATAATAAAAATCTAATTAAAGCAATGTACAAATTATCTCAAGACAGACAAAAAAAAATGTTTGCAAAATAAATAGGTAATAAGTATTAAAAATAATTTAAAATTAATCCTTGTCTATGTCTGATATCATTATGAATACTGTCCGAATTTTCGGATGTCACGGTAATTTCACTTTCTTCTGGCATTTCTACTTCTGGGGGTACTTCTTCAATATTATAATTTCTGCAGATGTTGTGAAGAACAGCTGTAGCTATTATAACGGTTTGTATGTTGTGTAATGACAACCGCATGGTCAATGATATGACTAGGAAGCGACTTTTCCAGACTCCAAATGTCCTGAACAAACAAGTACACTTTTTAATGGATTTGGTTAATAAAATAAAAATAAATAAATGGTCTCATGAATTAGTACTTAATCTTATATTGTAGTACCTATAGTGAAAGCTTTAATGGTGATTTTACCTTTCAATTGTGTTTCTAGTTTTTATGTGTGCCTCATTGTATCTTATTTCCTGGCTAGTTGATGGATTTAGCAAAGGTGTGAGCAAGTAAGGCCTGTTTGGATAGGCACTGTCCCCAAGTAACCAACGATTTCCTAAAATACCATCTTCACACTGGGCTGTAATAATAGTTAAATACATCAGAACACCATATTATTTTTATGATATTAGAAGAGACAATAAACCCAATATTACCTCTTAATACTGAATTATTAAAAATAGTAGCATCATGAGCTGAACCAGGCCACCGAGCAACAACATTCAATAACTTAAGGTCTGCATCACAAACGGCTTGGACATTTATAGAAAAATATCCTTTCCTATTTCTAAATTCCTCTCCTATTGTTGAACCTGAAATACAACATACTCATTTCATTTATGTTGCAAATGTATGAGAACTTTCTAAATAATTAAAAACCTACTTAAGCAAATTGCCAATTCTTAATTAATAACAAATCTAGAGTTGGAT